TTGATTCAGGGGCGGAATGGAATTCTGAGAGTTGACGTAGCTTCGTTATGTCATTTGGGTTGTGTGTGCAAAATTTCAGGTCATTCGGATGTGGTTTGGTTGGGTTTTTGATCAAAACTGTATTTCGGAAGTTTTTGGAAAACTTAGGCTTGAATCCGATGTGTTTTGAGTAATTTGATGTTGTTTGAGGCGTTTTGATGATTGGAACAAGTTTGAATAAGGTTTTAGGATGTGTTGGTGCTTTTGGTTGAGGTCCCGGGGGCCTCGGGTGAGTTTCGGGTGGTCAATCAGACCATTTTGGAGTTTGGGAAATTGTAGAAAATGCAGGTTCAATGTTGCAGAGATTTATCTCTTCGCGTTCGCGAGAGGGTCCTCGCGTTCGCGAAGAAGGAATTGTGGAAGGCCAGGGTTAAGCCTTCGCATTCGCGAGTGGGGCTTCGCGTTCGCGGAGGGTTGGCAGGTTGGGCATCGCGTTCGCGAGAGGGTACTCGCGATCGCGTAGTGTAATTTGAGATCAAGGCCTTTTTGTTCATCGCGTTCGCGTAAGGGGTTCGCGTTCGCGAAGGTATAGGAGGAAGAAGCATCGCGTTCGCGATGGGTGAGTCGCGTTCGCAAAGAGGAAAAGTTGGTCAACGCGAAGGCTTGCTTCGCGAACGCGAGAGGTTGACCGCGTTCGCGAAGAAGGGGGAACAGACCTGGGCAGAAAGTTTTTAAGTTATTTCATCCGCGATTTTGGGGCTCATTTACCCCATTGTTGATCATTTTGAGAGCTTTTTGGTGGATATTAAAGAGGGAATCGATTGGAGGTAAGATTTTTGAACTTAAAACTCGATTCTATTTTGAAATCTACCTAGAAATTCATGGAAACTTAAGTTAAAAGTGGAAGAACTAGGGCTTGGGATTTTGAATATTTGATTGGGGATTTGGAGGACCATTTGGGGTCGGATTTGAGAACTTTTGATATGTATGAACTCGTGGGAGGATAAGGAACCCGTTGATGTGAAAATTTCTGAGTTTCAAGAAGTGGGCCCGGGACTCGGGTTTTGCTAATTTCGGAATTTTTGATATTTTTCGATTGTTTTTGCTTGGGCATTGTTCCCTTAGCATATTGTGATGCATTCGTTCTGATTTTGGATAGATTCGACGCGCGTGGAGGGCGATTCGAGGGGAAAAGGCGTCGCGAGCTAGAGGTTTAGCTTGTTCGAGGTGAGTAATGATTGTAAATGATATTCTGAGGGTTTGAAACCCCGGATTGCACATCGTAGTGCTATATTGAGGTGAGACACGCGCTCGATGATGAGCGTACTAATGGGGATTGTGACTTGGTCCGTCCCAATTGATGATTTTACCTCGTATTTGACTGAAACTTATTTGTTATCATCATGATTTGGGCTGATTGCCATATTTGGGTTTCGTGCCAACTATTTGAACCCTTCAGGGATTTTTATCACTATTTCCTCACTGTATTGACTTATTACTTGAACTCAGTCATGTTGTTTCCACTGTTTTACAACTCAGCCACTTTTACTCAGTTCCGGGACTTAAATGATATTTTTAAATGATGTTTGGGCTGAGGACTACTGTTTTAGTAATGCCCGAGGGGCTTGTGATGATTTTTGGACTGAGTGCGGCCGAGGGCCAGATGTGAGGATACACTGAGTGATATGAGGCCGAGGGCCTGAGATACATATATACGCCACGAGGTGGCTCGAGTGATGTGAGGCTGAGAGCCGAGATTTGATGTCATGAGATGGCTTGATATTGCGCTTGGGCCGTAAGGGGCCCCTCCGGAGTCTGTACACACCCAGTGAGTGCGAGTACCCATTGTGATCTGAGAGTGAGCCCGAGGGGCTGGTACTATTCTAAGTCGTTGCCTGAGGGGCGGATTTCTATTTGTTATTTACCTGCCAAATCACTTGTTTTACTTGTTGAAAAAGGGATTTTACTTGATATTTTACTGATTTACTATTTTTAAGTGATTTTACTGCTTCGGTATATAATGCTTTGTGTTTTCACGTGTTTTCTTGCTTTCAACCATTATTTATATTTATTACTCACTAGGTCGGAGTACCACATTACTCCCTGCACCGTGTGTGCAGATTCAGGCGTAGTAGGTCCAGCTCCCGAGTGCTGACTCATCCCAGCTTCAGGCGGATCTTCGAGGAGACTTTAGGTAGATGCTGGCGTTCGCAGCCTGGAGCTCCTCTCTATCTATGTCTTTACTTTCTATTATAGTATTAAGACTCTGTAGTTACATTTGAGAAGTCATTATCTTAGACGCTCGTGACTTGTGACACCCAGGTTAGGGCTGTGTCGGGATGGTTTGCACTTTGTTATCTTTATTTCCGCGAACTATTGCTATTAAATCATGTTTTGAACTATCTTATTGTTAATTAACTGCTTAAAAAGGATGGATTGTGTTAGTCTGGCTGGCCTTGTCTTCACGAGAGATGCCATCACGACCGGGTCGGGGTTAGGGTCGTGACAATTGTGAAGAGTGGCCTTGAATTATTTAGAGATGAAATTACTTTAGTTATGAGAGCCGGATTAAATGCATTTAAGGAAAAATGTGTACACTATGGACTAAAACCAAGACTCATGTCCTGAAGAAATAGTTACTAGGTGGAATTATACTTATTTATTCTTAATATGTCGTTATAAATATAGAATGCCTATAACCGAAGTTGCTAATTCTCATTGTACCGATCCTAGCCGTTTGTTAACATCTAGAACTTGGGATGTCATTCATGATGTTGTACAATTTTTACAAAAAATTTATGTGGCTACACTTGAGTTTTCTGGAGCTTATTATCATACTATTACAAATGGTTTAGTTCATATTGCTGAAATTTTTCTTTTACTACATAATTTGAAGAAGAGAGAAGGATATGCTACCGTTGTTGAGTCTATGCTAGATAAGTTTAAAAATTATTTCTACTCAATTTCCCATATTTACCTAATTGGTATTATTTTAAACCCAACTGTCAAAATGATAAATTGTCGCCAATTAATTAGAGCTTTATATACTTATATGGATATTGGACCAACTGAAACACCCGATAGACACTTGTATTTCTGAGCTAAATACATTTACAAACTTTATATAATTATTATGCTAACATTGTTGATGCAAATATTCCTTCAATTAATCCTTTAACATCTGGAACAACTATGGATAATGATGATGGTGTTCAAGATTATCTAATTTGGTCTACACTAGGAGAACATCAACAAACCAGTAGCAGTAATATTGATGAACTCCAATTCTACTTGCAAAAGTCACCAGAACCCCTCACAAAGGATTTTCTACTGCTGGGTTGGTGGAAGAGCAACTCAAATCAATTTCATGTTCTTTCGGCCATTGCTCGAGACGTGCTAAATGTGCCGATTTCAACAGTCGTATCAGAGAGCGTATTTATCCAAGCAAGGCAACAACTAAGAGATACCCGTCATTCATCGGGCAACAACGCTTTGGAAATTCTAGCGTGCTTCAGAGATTGGATAAGATCAGAACGGCGAAATCAAGGGCGTGCTGATGTAGACGAAGAGGAGGACCAAGAAATTGGAGATATAATGGTTTATGGTTCTGATCACGCCCAACTATGCCTTATAAAAGACAAAGCGGTTGTTGCAAATATAATCCGGTTTTCAGGTACGGAGCCGAATCCTCATGGAACTAACCTATCTATTACAACTCTTGGTGATGCTATTACAAGCTCAAACAATTTCCGGATGCAAGATTTTTATCAATAAACACTGAGTTTTGTTTAACTAAGTCAAAAATGATATTAAAACTGACAATATTCTAAATCAAAGATAATTCAATGGTAAAAAGGTCTAGGGTATCGATTTCCCCAATTGCTAGTTTACGTCTTAACTCTTTTGCTATAATCTCGCTGTAATACTCTATGAGGATTATGAGCTATGGGGTATCGCAATTATCTATCGATCAACTACGATAATTTACTAGAACATTCTCTCGAACTACTGTAGATGATAATTTATGCAGCTCTGAATTATCCCACCAAAGTTTCGTTATCTCTAACCCCACTTTTAAGCTCAAGTAATGAATCTCTTCAATTACCCAAAAGTGGTGTTGTTCAACAGCAGTCTAACATAGTATTCTTTCTCAAGCAACACAAGGCAATTAGACACGATTAATCAAGGGCACATTCAAAATTAATCACCATACAAACACATAGTTGAACAATCATATAAGAAACCCTACTCGATTATAACAAAATTGAGTCAAAACTTCATCTAACAATGGTTCCATCAACCCTAGATTAAATGTTTAGCTACTCATAGCAAAACAAGATNATAAAGGGGTTGTGACTAAAGTTTTTTCCTGATTTACACTTTAGTCCCAAAAGTTGCGGGCAATTACACAGTCCACCGCTGCCGCGGCAAAACCGGCGCGACCGCGGTGAAAGACAAACATTCTGCCTCGCTTTCTTAGCCTACCGCGGTCGACCGCGATCGCGGTGGCTTCAAGCCTAGTGTGAGCACGTGATTTTTGCCCTATGTGAAATACTCCTAAAAAATAAAAGAAAATAGTTTTTTTTCCGATTATTTGCCATTTTATAGGATTTTATTAATTGCATGCATTTTTGTGCACGTTTAATTTTTATTAAAATCATGAAAAATGTCAAAAATACCATTCATTGCATTTAGGTTTTGTTTTTACATTTTTAGGATTAATTAGTTAATTATTTGTTTTATTAAAAAACGAAAATCACAAAAATGGCTCATTGTTACATTTTACCTTTTAATTTTTAGATTAGTGATTTTTCTCTTTTAATTTAGGATTAAGTAATTTTATAATTATTGTAATTAAATAATTAGTTTTATTTTACAATTTAGACTAATTTAGTAATATTATTGAGGTTTTTTTCTTAATTAAAAAAAGAGAAAAGGAAATAAGAAAAAGAAATTGAAGGAAAGGTTTAAATGAATATTGGACTAGTTCTTGTACCCAAATCAGACCCAAATTTTACTACCCAGCCCAAAAACCAAACCGTCCCGTTTTCCCCTCACACTAAATAAACCCTAGACATAGAACAAAAGAAATCAGACCCTACCCCAAGAGAACAACGCCGTTCCCATCTTCTTCAGCAAAATTTCTGCTGCACCGCTTGGATTCTCATTGTTTGAGGGTGGTTTGAATTTATAGCTGGAGTTCGCTTGGTTTAGTCCGAGATTTCTGGTGTCATTGTTGTGTCAGCTGTGTTGGTTCGCTGCCAATTTCGAAGTGATTCGCCTGGGCTGCGAATTTTCTTTCTCCGATTTCGGACTGCTGTTAGTTGCTGTTTTCATCTCAATTGGTAGCTGGACTCATCGTAGTTATTCTCAGCCTTTGTTCGGCCTTTTAAAATTTGCTTGTCGCTATTTAGGTATGTCTAAATGTCTCTGCTATTTTAAATTGAAATTGTGAATGAGATTCAAGTTGCTATTGCTCTGAGTAATTGTTCCATGGGTCTAGAAGTTGATTTCATACATGTTCAACAGCTTCTTATATTTTCATCTTCTATTTCATGGAAATTGAAACTCTAGCTTTCTCGTTCATGGTAGAATCGCAAGTCTATAAAACTCTGTTTATTTGTCATAATAAGTGAAAGTGTTCAGGAACCATTAGTGAGGATTGGGAAATAGGAATATAACCATCAGTTTATGAAACGGTGGTTTAGTTATATGAAAACAACTGTTTAAGAATTGGTGTTTGCGTTTTATGAAACGTTTGGAGTAGTAATTAAAGCTTCATGTATATGTAGTGTTTAATTTTCAATATCTATTAATTAAATTTTTCTTATTTTATTGTCAACTGTCATGTACAAGACAAAGAGGAGTTGCTCTGATGGTAAGCAACCTCCACTTCCAACCGGAAGGTTGTGAGTTCGAGTCTCCCCAAGAGCAAGGTGGGAAGTTCTTGGAGGGAAGGATGCCGAGGGTCTATTTGGAAACAGCCTCCGTACCCAGGGTAGGGGTAAGGTCTGCGTACACACTACCCTCCCCAGACCCCACTAAGTGGGATTATACTGGGTTGTTGTTGTTGTTGTTGTTGTTGTATTGTCAACTGTCATGTACGTATGGCATTTGAATTTCCCCAATGATCCAAAACTTTGAAGTAATTAATTCATTAAATAGCCGTAGTCTACTTTAGGCGCGCAATTAAATTATTACAACTACGGGTACGGCTCCCGTGACGTGGTTGTGATACCTAATTTTTAGCTGTGTTTCCTAATTAGTGCTGCTCTCTGTTACTGTGTTGCTTTCATTCTAAGGTAAGGAGATTCATTCATGTTACAAATACACTACTTCTCCTGCTTCTTTTATTTTTTCATTTTTTTATTAAGATTTATGGATAAATTAATAATGTAAACAATTGACATGTAATCTCCTCCTTTCTTTCACTTTAAGGTCTATTTTGTTTAAGATCATTTGATCATTTGATTTTTTTTTCCTTTTCTAAATTTCTGGTGAAAAGAAGGGCCTCTACTTTTTCTGCTTTGTCAGCTGGATCTACTTTGGTTTCAGACCATTCACCTCACTAGCAACTTGGCATATGAAAGCTTAATGAGCCGACATTAATTAAATAAACTAGAATTTGTGACCAGTTTATTCTAGTGTAAAGTTTATGATAAGAAATTTATATTTATTTATATTAGATACTCGGTCCTAACACTTTTTACTACGAAAATTTTCAACTTATTGTAAATAAATATATTTATATCATTTTATAAAAAATTAGGATAACCGCATAGATTTTAAATATGTAAAATTTATTCTAAAACTATTAAACAAGTAGAGTTTTGTGCAAAAAATAACAACAACAACAACAACAACAACCCAGTAAAATCCCCCCAAGTGGGGTCTGAAGAGGATAGTGTGTACGCAGACCTTACCCCTACCCCGAAGGAGTAGAGAGGCTGTTTTCGAAAGACCCTCGGCTCAAGATAATAAAAAGACAAAAGGACAAAAGGAAAGAATAAAATTGTTTAAAATTTAATCCTCAAAATCTTTAATCAAAAGAAAATCCTCAAAACTCCATTCTTTTTGTCTGAATATAAATATTATCCTTTTCAGAAAACTCCAAAGAAAAAGTTGCATTGTGGGTGGGATTAAGAAGTTGGTGTGCTGTAGTTAGTGGAGAAATTAGAAAAACGACATCAGCACAAACCTTAGTATTTGGTACCTATTACTTGCCTACGTCGATGTATTAATATTATTCAAACATCATAAGTTCATCGAATTTTAATAAATATTAAACTCATAATTACAAAATAACTTATTTTTTGACCCTTTTTTATGGTCCAAAATAAGTGATTTTTGTAGATTTCAAGAATGAATTAATTATTTTTTACGTAAATTGCCCTTGAAGTAAATAACGTTGGAGTATGTGTTAGGTGTGTTTATGTGAGATACTAAAGGTTAGTATGGTCAATTTCATTGCTAATTAATGTTAAAAGGTGGATTCCTTAATCTGTGTGAAAATAGCCAAAAAATCACTTATTTTAGACCGGATGGATTAACAAATGGATAACCAATGAGTTTAACTTTTATATTTGTAAAGTCGACTAGGAATTCTTCCAAAGGTGATCATATTCAAGAAGTCATAAATAATATGATTACCCATATTATTCGCCAGTTAACCCGTTTTTTATCTGTATTAAATATGGGTTGGTCGGATAATTTATCAGTGTTTCACTACCCGTTTTCGACCTGAACCATATCCGACCTGACCCACCCGGTTGCCACTCCTAGGTACAAATAAAAAAAATTCACTATCGGGGTAGTTTATTTTGAAGTATAAAAAATTAATTTCACTATATTATTTCATTATCACTTATAGATCATTTGGTTTTAATATAATATTTTGCATGGCTAGCCTAACTTTAGATCGTTATGTTTGATTACTCATATTGTTAGATTGCAAGCCAAGTTTGCAGCTGCATGACAAAACAACAACAACAACAATAACAACACAGCAAAATCTCATAAGTAGAGTCTACGGGGGCGAATGTAGCGCATTGTCGACGAGTTCAATTGAACCCATACCTTTTGATGCAGAATAAAATTTATATGTAAAAATTTATGAAAATTACAAAAATAGTAGAACCCATAACTTTAAAAATATAACGAGTTCAATGCTAAAAACTTTAAAAGAACCCATTGAATTTAAATCCTGAATTCGCCCCTGAGAGTCTGGGGCGGGTAGAGTGTACGTAGATCTTATCCTTATCCCAAGGGGCTGAGAGACTGTTTCCGGTAGACCCTCGACTCAAAAAGACAAAAAGAGAGACAATATATAATCAAATGAAACTCTCCGGTAACAACATAAGTCATTGATCAATATGCTTATTTTTCTAATAATTTTACCAATTTATACCTCAATCCACTAGTATTCATATCCTACAGAAAAACAATCAGTTCATTCGGCACAATACTCAAACATACATCATATTAATTAATAAACGGTTTTTTTATTGGATATCATTATAAAATCAATTATACAATATGCTACGTTAAGTTGCGGACGGTCTTGAGTGCTTAAAGTTTATTAAATGTCACATAATTTTTAAAAACTGGATACATTTTACATAGGGGTGCTCAAAGTGGATATCTAATGCCATTTTTGCTGCTTTATAGCTGGGTGGGCCTATACAATAGCCCAACCCTAGTAAGTAGCCCATCTAGCACAACATCCAAGTTAGGGCGAAAACGACATCGTTCGCATTTGGCGGGGAATTGATCTTTTACGCATTCTGCTGCAATTGCCTCTTTTTAGTCTGCTCATTCACTGACAGCCTTCCCAAGCACCCCAAGGAAAATTGGTCGCGAATCAGGTCAAATTTCTTCACTTTTCTTTGTTTCCGAATCTCGAAAGTCACAAAAAATCTGATGAATTTCATTGGAAAAAATTGTTGTTGAAGATTTCTAGAGTTGGATTTGCGAACCATTGCAAACCCTCAACTTTAAATTAAATTGAAGAAGCAACTTGTAAGCATCTCTTTGGTTGAAAATGTACCTAAGGCCTGTGTTATTTCGTGCTTATTTTTCTTCGAAGAAGTAATTTTGCATACAACTTGACTGCCTATATGCATGTGCATAGAGCATTTCTCGTTTTTTTGCGTAAGTATTTACTATGAAATGCTTGGCTTTATACTACTTTACCCCTCACCTGATCCTTTCTTTACCTCTGATAATAGCTACTTACTTCATGATCTTTCTATTTGCTCTTTATTTTATGCTATTTTAAATTTTTTGAGTTTCTTGACAGTGAAATTCTGCATACTACTTTATTTAGTGATTTCAATCAGACTTATATAGTTGGTCTAGCTTTTTATTCCATAATGTTTTAACTTCTTTTTTATTTATTTTATAAAGATGTGGATGGTTTCTTTCTCTGTGCTATGAAGAACTCTGTGAATTGTATGTTCCCCTTTTCGTCATTAACAAGATAACTTGTAAAAACTCGGTAGTTTCGCTTGGGGATTGTTTAATATGTAATTGGAAAATTAAACTTAAAAAATTACAGTGCTTTCCATTTTTGTCTAGCATAAGAATTATAAAAATAAAAATTGTTTAACCAAAAAAAAATTATAAAAATTTGTCGCCTAATATCTACTCTCAGGCTCCTGTTTTCCTCATTCTCTTAGAGTAGTTTGGCTCAAATTTGAAGATGTTGTGGGTTGACAAGTACCGCCCCAAAACCCTAGACAAAGTTATTGTCCACGAGGATGTTGCTCAAAATCTTCAAAAGCTGGTAAAACTTCTTTTATTTGTAGTATACACCTTTGTGAATTCTCGAATTATATCAACTATTGTGACCCTTTTCTTTATGCTTACTATTAGGTGTTAGCGGGAGATTGTCCTCATCTTCTCTTTTATGGCCCTTCCGGGTCAGGGAAGAAAACTCTGATTATGGCACTTCTGAGGCAGATTTTTGGTCCAAGTGCCGATAAGGTAACTCCTGTCTCTTTTCAATTGATTTCTTTTTATGTGTTTTCTTCGCTAAAATATGAAATTTGCTACTTAATTGATCTCTATAGTAATATGGTTTCCATTGGTTGGACAACTGATGCAGGTTAAGGTTGAGAACAAGATTTGGAAAGTTGATGTAAGCTTTTCCTTGAATTTCTTTTTTCAAGGTGCAAGTATGTTAATGTGAATTCTGTGTATAGCTGTATTATTCTTAGTTCTGTACATATATCAAAATATTTAGATCAGTAGGTTCCTATCTTTTTCGGCCAAGACGCTGTTCAAGTCAACAATATAAGGAAAAACATTAAGAAGAAATCTTGGTACTTGAAGTGTCTAGAGAATATTTCAATGCCTTTTTTATTTAAAAGTAAGACATGGAAAAAACAACTGAAGAATCCAACAATTGACAAAGTTACTTAATAATTACAACTCAATCTGGTGCCTATAACGAATAGTCAGGAAGTTTGTCTCATGCATTACAAACACTACCGTAATCAGAGCATAACGATAATACAAACTAAAGTAGAAAAATGAAGCCCATCGTCCTCCCAATCCAACTTGGCAAATATCTTGCAAACTTCCAACACTGGTTGAAATCTGGTCTTCGAGGTGTTTGCTTTTGAGGTAAATAAAGTTGGAAGATCTATTCCATCCAATAATTGTTCTTCATATTGCATAAACATGGAATATTTAGATGACACAATGAATAGCCCATTGAGTTAGCGTTTTGGTCTATTTCTTTATGTTTTTTAGTGGTTGCTTCTTTTTCAATCCTGCTTAGAAATGCTTTTCTTGAGCCCGGGGGTCTATCGAAAATAACCTCTTTACCTCCACATGGCCCCAATTCACGAACCTGGCTCTGATACCAGTTGTTATAGGGCCAATTTTAGCACAATTGACACTGCACGGCAGTAGCCAAACTCTCAGCCACTCAGCCTTACTTTTCACACAGTTTGACACTTAGAATTATTTTTGACTTGTAAGACGTAGCAGCACACAGTAGTACGGGTAAAACCCAACCTTATTCAATTCTCGCAGAAATGTACAAAGGAACTCAGTTGGAAGGCTCACATATGCTACTTGCCTTAGTCAACGAAATACAACATACAAAAGGGGGCTGCCAATGGCAGATTACAAAAGGCCAGTTACACTGGGGCTGTTATACAATGTGCCTTGCACATGACCAGCCAAAAAACAAGAATAACTACTAAGTTATATTTTGAATTCAAACTTTCCCACGAAATTGAATCCATCTTCAGCATTTTGGCCAACTGCAACATGTGTATTGCACATGGCTAAACTTCCACAGCACATGCGCATCACACTTCTTCAGTCACATGACTTGCACACTTGTTATACAGCTTTTGCCCACACTTTGCCTTCCTGCCTTGCCTCGTCTTTGGACCATGCCTCGCCCATAAGCTCATGACAATGTCTTGTCACAACCTTTGTCGTCCCACTTATCCGTACGCATGCCTTAGCCAAGTGCTATGCGCCTTCGTTTGCCATAGCCGCTGCCCACAATCAAGGTTGCCTTGCCAACACCCAAGACACCTTGCCTAGCTGACTTGCCTAAGTCCATGCACTAACTTAGACACATTTCCAGCTCCGCACATTGCTTGCCAACACCCGCACAAACTTATGCCAAGGGGCAACGTACAAGCCCTTGACATAGATTCTGCCCGAGATCCGTTATGTCTCAATATTAGGGGCTAACAAACCACCCCCACTAGTTGAACTCGACGCCCTCGTGGAGGCTGATTTCAAGTAGTCCTCTATTTGCTGTTCATATTGCCACAATGAAGCACCCTTTTCCCAAGTCTCATCTGCCTCGAGCTTTCCTTTCTGATTCTGTCCGCCTGTTTTTCTTATGCATCCCAAGAACCTGGTGGTCAAGAATCTTCTCAATTTCTTCCTCAAGCTGAGTGCGCATCTTAGGAGGAGCTCTCTTTGTTCTGTCAACGGAGCAGCTTTCTTTGAACAACATATCAACCGTACCACTGCTTTCTTTGATTTATCTAAGGCCTTATGTTGAAGATCCGGACAGGCACAAAACAAAGCAGCTTTCTTTGAACAACATATCAAACGTACCACTGCTTTCTTTGAGTTATCTAAGGCCTTATGTTGAAGATCCGGACAGGCACAAAACAAAGGGAGCTCCTCCTGAGGTGCGTACTCAGCTTGAGGAAGAAATTGAGAAGATTCTTGACCATCGGGTTCTTGGGATGCATAAGAAAAACAGGCAGACATAATTTTTGATTCTGTGGAAAGGAAAGCCCGAGGCAGATGCGACTTGGGAAAATGGTGCTTCATTGTGGCAATATGAACAGCAAATAGAGGACTACTTGAAATCAGCCTCCACGAGGGCGTCGAGTTCAACTAGTGGGGGTGGTTTGTTAGCCCCTAATATTGAGACATGACGGATGTCGGGCAGAATCTATGTCAAAGGCTTGTACCCCTTGGCATAGGTTTGTGCGGGTGTTGGCAAGCAATGTGCGGAGCTGCAGGTGTGTCTAAGTTAGTGCATGGACTTAGACAAGGTGCCTTGGGTGATGACAAGGCAACCTTGATTGTGGGCAACGGCTATAGCAAATGTAGGCGCATGACACTTGACTAAGGCATGCGTGCGGATCAGTGGGATGGCTAAGTTTGTGACAAGACACAGTCATGAGCTTATGGGCGAGGCATGTTTCAAAGACAAGGCAAGGCAGAAAGACAAAGTGTGGGCAAAAGCTGTAGAACAAGTGTGCAAGTCATGTGACTGAAGAAGTGTGCTGTGAAAGTTTAGCCATGTGCAATGCACATGTTGTAGTTGGCCAAAATGCTGAAAAGGGATTCAATTTCGTGGGAAAGTTTGAATTCAAAATATAACTATATAGTTATGCTTTTTTTTAGCCTGGTCATGTGCAAGGCACATTGTATAACTGCCCCTTTGTAATGTGCCATAGGCAGCCCCTTTTATATGTTGTAATTTCGTTGGTTCAAAGGCAAGTAGCATATGTGACCCTTCCAACTGAGTTCCTTTGTAAATTCTGCGAGAATTGAATAAAGGTTGGGTTTTACCCATACTACTGTGTGTTGCTACGTTTTGCTAAGTCTGAAATAATCAAGTTCTAAACTGTGTGCGAAAAAAGTAAGGCTGAGTGGTTGAGAGTTTGGCTACTGCCGTGCAGTGTCAATTGTGCTAAAATTGGCCTTGTAACAACGCTACCCTCCCAGGCCCAAGTACACTAGGTATGTTGTTTTTTAGTGGCCATACAGATACTTTAGTCTAGCTATACTCATAAAAAAAAAGATACTTTAGTCTAGCTAAAAGAGGCAAGAGGAAAGTGGGATTTAAGAATGACCTTAATCTTTTTTTTATAAGATAAGTAAATATTATTAAGGCAAGGACCAAGATGGTACTGCAAAATACATTAGTACAGAGGTCATCATATAGCAATTAAGCACACTCATCTCAATGAATCTAAAAAGTATAAAACATCCCTTTACACCAATGCAACAGATTTTCCAAACAATTATACTTTACAACTGCTATCTGTTTCTTGTCTTTATCAGAACACCTCCTATTCCTTTCTAACCATATACTCCATAAGATGTATAGAGGAGCGGTTCTCCAAATTTTCTTTCTGTTTCCTCCAATCTTCTGTGCTTTCCAGCTTGACAAACTCTGCACATCTCTAGGCATCACCCAGTGCACTCCAAATAATCATAACACAACAGAGTTTGCCCGGCAAAAACACAGTGGTATGTGATTTCTTGATACTACTTCCTTCTCACATAGATAGCACCTGCTACACATTATAAATCCTCTCCTCTGGAGCAGATCTTGAGTTAGACAGGCATTTCTAGTAGCAACCCACCCCAAAACATGCCACTTTTGATGGTGCTTTAGTCTTCCATATCATCTTCCAAGGCCATGCCTCCTTCCAATTATTCAAATATTCTTGAAACATATTATAGCAGCTACTTTCTGTAAAAATTCCTTCATTGTCCGTCAGCCACACCAGTGAGTCATTCTTTGAACTCTCCAGTTTGAAGGCTTCTAAAACAGCTAACAGCTGACTGATTTCATCTATTTCCCTTAATCGTTCCTGCTATGATGTGAGCACCAGCCCTCTCTTCTTGCATTTCTAGAGTTCAATATTTTCTGCCCTCGTATTTGACTTGTAGTTGTCATTCCTACATTGTTCAGAAAGTGGAGGGCGCTGAACAGAAAATAAGTTGTCTTTAATGAGCAACAACTTTAGTTTTTGCATTATTTGTGTTTTGCATTTTTTTTGGTGAAGTTGAAGAAGAAGGAATAGGGAATTTTTGAAGCGTTTTGAGAGCCTTGTCTGAAGAGTGAAAAGTTCTATTTTGATCCTCTTATACTTTTGGTGCACAGCGGCCGTACCTACTTATAGATAGTTGGTTAGAGTTTTGGGAGATTTGATGTACAGTGCAGCTGAACTTCATTTGTGAAGTTATCATGATTTTGATGTACTTTTAATAAATTCTTTTGATTTGTAAAAGAAAAGAAAGAGGGTCAGTAGCTTGGATAGAAAATCCCATTCCTTTGCTGTAGTTTTTTGTGGCAAGAATTTATGATTGATATTGTGTCAGCTTGAATGATGCACATGTAGTTGTAGAGATTCCTTTTTAATGTGTTTTTGCTTTAAATATAAAATACATGACTCATCATCAGACATTGATGCTAGAGAGAAAGGATGTATTCACACAATTTGTATGGATGAAAAAAGTCAAGTATAATTGGTTTTATATTTTTTTTTAAACAAAACTTAGGGTGCAATCAATAGAGATCTGCTTTTGGTAAAAGTGACAACAACCAGTGACTTCCATGGTTAGGGATCAATTGCAACTGATATCCTTCTTTCTTTCTATATTCTTTAATTCTTTTAGAAGTTTTAGTTTTACTTTACCCATGTGTGTGTATTTTTTCTCTTTGTTTTAGTAACATAGCATGTGGATTTCAAGTTTAAAGAATATAAAGGTTAGGCAACATGTGAATGCACAAGTTCCATAAATTTTAACTTCAGGAGAAGTATTGCTAGTTAAATTGAAATAAACAGAAGTATCAAAATCATGATAATCCTTTTGATTCCTCATAATGC